CACTTAAGGTTTCAAGACGCAATTGAAAACCGATCCTTACCTACTAATAGTTGTGGATAGAGAGCCCATCTTAACCAACAAGGGGATAGTGACCTACAAGACGGTCCCATTAGAAATGGTTATGCTACGCAGACACAAGGAAACGATCTAATTTGATATCGTACATATAGACAACTATGCATGTATCCTTAGTGTGCTGTGGCTTAAGAAACACAACCCTTAGATCAACTGGTAGAACGAGAAAGTTGTAATGAGCCAGTGCGTGTGTGAACAACGAACGGACACGCCACAACGGGAGGAACCCTCCTAGGGCCGACGCAAGGTGTGTGCGACCTCTATAGAGCCCAGTGACCTAGCCTAGGCACCCTTACCGACGAATATACCAGTAGAGTATAAGGAATACAAGCAGCTATTCTAGGAAGGCCCTAAGAACGAGGCGCTTCCTAAACACCAACTATAGGATTATGTAATACCCTTAGAAGAAGGAAAGAGTCCACCGTTTAGACTAATATACCAGATGTCAGCAGACGAACTAAAACTGCTAAAGGAATATATCGACGATAACCTTAAGAAAGGATTTATTAGACCATCCAAATCTCCTACAGGAAGCCCGATGTTATAGGTTCCTAAGAAGGATGGAAGCAAACGACTATGCGTAGACTATCGAGCATTGAACAATATAACGATAAAGGATCGATACGCCTTACCGTTAATCAATGAGTTATACAATAGATTCTAAGGAGCTAAGATCTTCACTAAGCTAGATCTACGTAGCGCGTACAACCTGATCTAGATAGCTGACGGCAAGGAGTAGAAAACAGCATTCCGCACCCGCTATAGCCTATTCGAATATTAAGTCATGCCCTTTAGGTTGACCAACGCCCCCGCATCTATGCAACGCTTAATGAATGACGCTTTGCACGAATATCTAGACATATTCACCATCGTTTACTTAGACGATATACTAGTATACTCAGCAAACAAGGACGAACATGCTCAGCATGTTAAGCTCGTCCTCTAGAAGCTAAAGGAATACAACCTACTGTTGAAGCTAGAGAAATGTGAGTTCTATAAAAACTAAGTCGAATTCTTAGGCTACATTATCGGAACGCACGGCATTAAGATGGACTAAGCAAAGGTTACAGCAGTGTTGGAATAGCTAACACTAACTACAGTCAAGGAAGTACAAGCCTTCTTAGGCTTCGCCAACTTCTACCGTCGGTTTATTGCAGGATATTCTAAGGTAGCTCAACCACTCACAGAGCTCACTAGGAGGGATCTCGCGTTCGAATGGACAGAAAAAGCAGAGGCTACCTTCTAGGAACTTAAGACAAAGTTTATAGAGGCACCTATCCTTGCTACATTCGACCCTGCAAAGAAGATCATCCTCGAGACAGACTCTTCTGACTTCGCGATTAGAGCATGTCTAAACCAACTAGACGAGAACGGTAAGTTTAAACCAATCGCGTACTACTCTAGGAAACTGTCACCTGCAGAGCTCAACTATAACATCCACGACAAGGAGCTACTGGCTATTGTCGTTGCCTTTAAGCAGTGGCGCGTATATCTTAAGGGATCCACCTACACTATGCAAGTGTGGACAGATCACAAGAACCTCATATACTTCACTACAACTAAGGTTTTAAACCGTAGACAAGTCCGCTAGGCAGAAACCCTCGCAGCCTACAACTTCACAATAACCTATCGTAAGGGCTCCGAGAACGCAAGAGCAGACGCTCTCAGTAGACGGACCGACTACGTCGGCCTAAAGGAAGAAAGACCTAGAGCAATATTAAAGAAAACAGACGTAGGAATACAGTATAATGAGTTACTAGCGACGATCTCCATTGTCGAAGACACAGAACTTAAGGCGAGACTCAAGAAATCTTATGTAATAGACAAATACGCAAAGAGAGTCTTAACTAAGGTCGAAGGCGACTTTGCTATAGACGAACAAGGATTGATCCGTTACAAAGGATTAGTGTATGTCCTAAGTCAAATAAGACGCCCGCTAGTGCAAGAACAACACTCGTTGCCAGCACACGGTCATTAGGGAGTAACACGAACCTTTGAACGAATCACGAGACACTACTACTTCCTAGGTATAAGGAAGCAGGTAGAAACGGTGGTAAGAGAGTGCAACATTTGCAGCAAATCGAAATCTAATAGGCACTTGCCTTATAGACAGCTCAAGTCGACACTAGTACCAAAAGGAGCGTGGAAATCAATAGCCCTAGACTTCATTGTCAAGCTACTACCCTCTAAAGACCTGTTAACAGGAGTAGAATACGACTCTATCCTTGTTATTACAGAAAGACTCACGAAGTATAGGAAATTCGTGCTATATCTAGAAGCCAGCGACGCCGAGGCGCTTACGTATACCTTCATTTAAGTTATATTAGCCGATCACGGGATGCTAGAAGAAATCATCTTAGACAGAGACAAGCTCTTCACTTCGAAATTCTAGAAATCATTAATGGCTCTGCTAGGAACAAATCACAAGCTATTAACAGCTTTCCACCCCTAGACAGACGGCTAAACAGAAAGGTTAAATCAAACCCTTAAGCAGTACCTACAGAGTTATGTCAATCATTAACAGGATAATTAGGTTCAGATTTTACCCATCGCACAGTTCGCATATAACAGCGCGATGGCAGAAGCAACGAAAGTTTCACCGTTCTTTACCAATTACGGCTACTAGCCAGAGGCATATAGGCAACTAAGACCGGACGAGGCACGAGCTAAACAAGCCCTAATCGTAGTGGAACAACTGAAATCGTTCTACAAACAACTTGCAACGGACATCTAATTCTTAAATGAACGATCCGCTGCATATGCAAATAGGAAGCGCAGTATAGAACCTGCCTTTAAGGAGGGGGGTAAAGTATACCTACTCTAAAAACACATCAAAACGAAACGACTAAGTACGAAGTTGGACTTTAAGAAATTAGGACCATTCAAGATATTGAACAAAGTCAGCTTAGTTAATTACAGACTGCAGCTACCTAAGAACTCCAAACTCCACCTAGTATTTTATGTCTTATTATTAGAACTAGCAAGAGAGGATACCCTAATTACAACAGACACCGAACTCCAACCCAAGAATGAAGTTATTAAATATAAGGTCGAGGCGATCCTAGATAGAAGGTTAGTAGGGCGCCAAGAAGAGTTTTTGATTAAATGGAAAGGTTACGAACCTACAGATAACTTATAGGAGTTAAGGGGGAACCTCAGCTGCCTAGAGCTGCTGGCGGAGTTCCACTGTCGACACCCCAACGTTTGAAAAACCTAGGAGACAGGGCCGCGAAAAGGTCTAGGTTGGGGACAGCGGTCCTAGAGACGGTCGTAGAAGGACTGTAAGGAAAGGCCTCTTTAGACTCGGCTTCCTTACGCTCTTTCTCCTCTACCTCGTCGAGTTCGTCTATGGTTTTTAGACCCCGACGAAGCATGTCTTTAGCTCGGGAACGGAACAGACGTTGCTGCTTGCAAAGGCGAAGGATTTTGGCCATTGCCTCTTCCTCCTCCTCTTGCAAGCAACGTTCTTCGCGTTCGAGCTTATCCTAGTCGCTAGCGGAAGGACCACTAGCATCACAGCGAGCGTTGACGCAGATACATTCACTACATCGTTTCGAATCGTCCGATACGACGCATTTCACACATTTCTTTTCACATCGACTACAGGGCAGCATCTCAATGCCGGTAGTTAGGATTCGTTGAGCTAGAGCAAGACGTTCTTTGATTTTAGTATGTTTAGAAGAAGACATAGTCGCAGCCTGACCTACCCATAGAACAAGTGGGCATCGCTCTACTTAAGTAGTTAGCGTTTTTCTTAGTCAGCAACAGGCCTCGGGACTAGGCCTTAAGGGAGGGACCTAGTGTTACAGCCCTTAGGGAAACTATAGACTGTGCAGGTTTCCGATATTAGAACAGAGTATCTGCTGTCGGAAACCAGACAGCGTACGACCTTGTTGGGTCGAACGACTGAGCCGAGCGCTAGAACATTAGTAGCGCTAGACCTAATCGGGCCTAGGGACTGAGCCGGGCGCACGACCCGGGAGCGTAGGAACTAAGTGGCTCCTACGCCCCGCGGTCTTGAGAGTAGGGGACGTCGCGGGATTGGTTGGATCTAGAGACCTCCAGTCCTTAGACCCAATCATATCGCAAGACCTACATAATGGATAACAACGATATGTTAGATATTTGTTATCTATGATATCTTCGATATCCTTTAGCACAACGCTACTATATAAGCAGATAGTTAGTTCTTAGATAGGAGCTTCGTGCTCAACTCAATATAGTATTTGTTATATACTGTAACGTGTTTTACGAAAGCCTTTGTGTCTAATCCCCTGCCTCCTCTGTTAAGTAAACCAACGTAACGAAACCTCTGTGAGTCTTATAGTTTAAGACCCAGCGTTACAATAATCTAGTACCTAGGTGAACAAAGGTAAGTAAAGGTAAGTAAGGGTAAGTAAGGGTAAGCTTAAAAATAGTATAAAAGGCACCTTCTTACTATGTCTATATACTATAGTCTACTATCTATTACATTCTTCATTTAATTTTAAGGACTTTACTAGTACTATAGGACAGAAACCCCTCTCTAAAGAAGAATAAGCTACTCTAGTATAGTTATAAGGCTATTTTAAGAAGAAAATATTTAAAGAATAGAACATATTAAGTTAAGTTAAATTACATTATCTCTCTAGTACTACTAAGGCTAAGTATATAGATATAGGGAAGTTATTCTAAAAGTATATTAGACTTAGGGTAAATGTAAATTATGCTATATAGCTAATGAATTAGAGCTATACAAATTAATAATTGTCCCTCTCTCGGCTACATTCTTCCTTAATAGCCCTTTGGTATTTGTTAAGTAGATGCACGCTAGATTCAGATAATTCAGATAATTGCACTGTTAACATTATCACTAGCTATTGCATCGAACCTTATAGCGCTAGGACGCATCATAAGCACATAGGTGCTAGCTGCTAGACTTGGTTACCTCATCTACCATCGGACTATTCACTCATTACTGCTCATATACTGTACTAGACGTAGGCTGCTTTGGCGTGGTTGGCGATTTGTTGCGTGTCTTGAACAATGTTGATGCCGATACGAACATTGAAATCCAGTGGCTCATTACTAAGCAATAGAGTCATGTGAAAAAGGGCAAATTTAGATCTCACCCAACTGAGTTGTTTTCTTCGCGAAACAAAAAATGCATGGGCCGATAACTAGAGAGCGTCTAGTTGTCGTATAGTATTCATCGTCTCAGAGTATTCTGGGATGTCCACCAAGCTACCATAATCCTTACACGCAAACGGAAGGCAGCTTCTGTGAATTATGAACTACCAATTTCTATCCGCAGCAAGCATCCTTATATAATCAATTGCCCCCGGAGTCTCGGCCCACGAGTTGTATGAATACAGAAGCTTGAGCTGCATCTCTTCCTTACTGCCACTACTGTAACTACCCGGCCGAGCTGTCAAGTTGTCTCCAGGCCGCAGAAGAGCTGGCCAGAAGTACCTATTAGACTTATCCACGGCGTTGTACATGTCCGACACTTGGGTTTGGAAGTCATCGATCAGCGGATCTAAATTGTCGCTCTCTATAATATCCCGTCGCTGAGAGATAATATTACTAGCCATCTGGTTACGGATATTGTCGAGAACTTCCTGTGGAAGCTTCTGTCCTATTGCTGCGGCGCTTTTTAAGGCTTGAAGATCGAAAAGGATGCGGATCTTGAGTAAAGTGACGGATATGCTGTGGGAGAGGTCTGCACGAGCGAAGAGAACAGGTGGCTCAAGTGCATTCTGGTCCTTCAGATCGAGATATGGCTCATCCAAATCTCCCCAATCGTAATCGCTGCGCTCACCTGTCGAAGCCCACCACTTCACAAAATCGTAGCATTCCTGATCTTTCCCCAATCGCAAGAATAATGCGGGCACAGCATCCCGAACCCCCATGTTGTCGCTGCGGCAGAGGCGAAGCATGTCCAACAGGTGGTTGAGCGCCGCGTCCACCGCAGCGTAGGTGCTGATTTCCAGGAGGGCTTCTACCAACGCATACCGAGCTCGCATGTATGGACGGGTCTTGACGATGCCCCAAAAGTAGCCCGCTTCGTCTTCAAAGATCGTTTCACCGGCGGGCATGAAGTCGCCCGGCGCCGCTCGTAGTGTTGCTTCTTCATCTTCGAGGGCGATTCGGGCTTTCTTGACATCTTTGCAAGCGCCTTCATGGTCTGGCCTGTCGGATATAAGATGCTCTTGGCTACAGTAGAACGTGACCTTACATCCGGCACATCTAGAGAGGCCTTCTTTCGCGCCGCAAATCGGACAGCTTAGCGTTGGATTGAGACTCATTCTTTATCGGACCGTCTATTCCGACGTGAGTTGTTTACGAGCCCTATTTTCAGCTCAAGGCACCTATTGAAACAAAAAGCAAGGCAAATCTGAAGCCGGCTCGGAAGCTGTCCCCGAAATTGTAGGAGTAGGAGCGGGCTAGTGACCTGACCCGACAAGCTTTTAAGCCACTAACCCAATTTATGTGCCAATACCCAACCAACCCTACCAAAGCATGGGTGCAGCCACAGCGGACGCGAACTCCAGATACTAGAGCTAGAGTCTTTGTTGGATTGTATACCCTATCCAATCCAACACGCCCTCTTCCTCTTCAGCCACTTCCAGCCTGAGCACAGGCTTTTAATTAATTAAATACATGCAACAGGCCCTTCAATTTAGAGCATAACGTCACAAACTTGATTTCTAGAGGCTTACGCGGCGACCGACCCCAAGCTATCCCGGAAAGAATCCACCTTCCGACACGTGATATCCCCGTATTTTCCCCCGTATTGTCCCCTTTCGTTGTAAACACTATCCATTCTCCAACCTTGGTCTAGCTTGCTCTTGGCTCGCTCTTGGGATGCTTATCGCTTGCTCATTAACACCACAAGCCTCTCTTCAACTTCAATGGTAGCATGCGGCGGCTCACCATGGCGGCGCACCATGCTACCATCGACACCGTCGTTATTCATGTGAGAAGGCCTCAGATAATGCTTCCCTAGTATCTCCAGTGGGATGCTAGACCTCGTAGTACAGGTAATGATGTATACTACTAGCGGAGATGATTCCCGTCGTGCCGTAAGCTCCGCGCAGAGAAACTGGGGATTCACTGTCGTCAGGAGTTATTATTGTCTTTTCCTTGTCTGTTTCGAACGAATAATTATCGTAGGATTCGATTTCTTAGTACCAGCCTAACCATATACTGCTCGTGTTGTCAGCGCCACTTGCACTTACTCCGTAGTGGGTCCAGTTGGAAATGCGGGGGCGGAGTGATAAGACGAGTGTCAAGACGAGTGACAAGACGTTCTCGAATCCCCCAATTCGCCTTTGCCTTTTTGGGTCCCAAAACTACGGGGAGGTCCTTCCAGAATTTCCGCTTTTATCGATCGGATATGCCCTCTGAATGCCTGACCGCCATTGGCATCCTTGTTCGCCCCATGCGCCGACTGAGCTCATGTGTCTAATATTAGCGCGTCTCACCTCATTGTCATTGTCGCGACAGTTCATACATATAAGGATGCGTCTCTCCTCAAAGGTAGGGGAGGGCAAGACGACGAGAGACTCCATAAAGAGAAGGAGAACGGGCACCTGTCGCCACAATTGATAAAACTCCGTTGGATCTTGTCTTCCTAACAACATCGCTTATCTACTGGTAAGCACCGCTCAGAATGTCGACGAACGAGGTCTCCAAAACTGAGGTCGCCGGCGACGCCATCGTCGAAGACATCCACACGCACTTTCCGGTCGTTGCCGAGGGTTCAGGGAAGACCGCTAATAATGAAGGTGCCAAGGAGAGAGAGGTGTACAATGTAAGTCAGCGGAAGTTCCCCGATTGATAGTGGATACGGGACAACAGAGCGTGTTGGAAATTTATTAACTGTCTGGAAACTAGGCCGAGCTATACGCAGCTATCCAGGAGTCCCGCATTCCGCCATGGAGCAAGGCAGCTAGGAAGTTGTACTGTAAGTCAACAATGCATAAAAAAAACCCCAATCCATAGACAAGCAGGAACTTTGAAAATGACAACTTGCTGACAAGGAGGTAATCAGTGTGCGTTTTCATTGCTTTCTGCTGTGCTTGCGCCAACGGTTATGATGGCTCCTTAATGGGTTCCATTATCGTCATGCCTCACTTTCAATCAAGGATGCACAACGGGAATGATGGTTGGCAAGTCTCCGTCATGACCTCTCTTTATTCTGTGTAAGTCCTGCCCATCCTTTCCTTTCCTGTAACCCTACCATGCTTCCTGACGGACAACTGACAGGCGGTTCAATACTTTAGTGGTTCTATTGTTGCCACCCCATTCGCAGCCGCTGTTAGTGACAAATGGGGTCGTCGTGTTGGCATGGTCTGGGGTTGCTTTGGTATCATCATCGGCAGTATCATCACCGCGAGTTCTTTCAGCATGGCCCAAATCACAGTCGGCCGTTTTATACTCGGTGCCGGCATCCAGTTCATGACTGTCGCAGCCCCCGCATACTCGATGGAAGTCGCTCCTCCTCAATGGCGTGGTCGTTTCACGGGATTCTACAACTGTGGTTGGTTCGGCGGCTCGATCCCCGCAGCCCTGGTAACTTTCGGGTGCCAGTACATCGACAGCGAATGGTCATGGAGGGTACCGTTTCTTTGCCAGTGTTTCGCATGTTTCATAGTCCTCGGTGCGGTACACTTCATCCCCGAGTCTCCTCGATACCTATTTGCCAACGGCCGGGAGGCAGAGGCCATCGATTTCCTGACCGAGTACCACGGGGGGGGGAACCGCAACGCGCGCCTGGTCCTGCTGGAAATTGAGGAGATCCAGGAAAGCATCCGTCAGGAGCTCAATGATAAAAAGATTCCCTGGTGGGACTTCAGCTGTCTCTTCAAGACGAAAGAAGCTCGCTGGCGTTCGTCCCAGGTCCTGATGATGGGCGTCTTCGGCCAGTTCTCCGGCAACGGTCTTGGTTACTTCAACGCTACAATCTTCGGTGAGCTGGGAGTTAAAAGCGTGGCTCAACAGCTCGGCTACAACGTTCTTAACTCCGTCATCTCTGCCATTGGTGCTGGGACGGCAGTATCACAGACTGACCGCATGCCACGCCGTAAGGTGCTTGTTTATGGCACTTTCGCCTGTGCCGTCATGCTGGCCATTAACGGCGGCTGTAATGTCGCCTTTGGGAGGGATCAAACCAACATAAATGCCGGTCAATCTGCGCTCGCTTTCTACTTTCTCTTCAATGTCGTCAACTCCTTCACCTATACTCCATTACAGGGTGTCGTCCCAGTTGAGGCCCTCGATAACACCAGGCGTGCTAAAGGTTTGGCCTTTTACGGTTTCTTGACTGGTTGCCTCGGCTTCATCAACACTTTCTGCACGCCTATTGCAAACAAAACTATAGGGCTGAACTATATCTGGGTCTTTGTGGGCTGGGATTGCATCGAGACCGTCTGTTGGTACTTTTTCGGGTATGTCAATCTATTTTGTCCTATCTATTATGCATGCACGCTGGGAAACAGGAGTTTGCTAAACATTCCACCAGTATCGAGGCCCAAGGCCGCACTCTCGAGGAGCTCGAGTGGGTCTACAAACAGCCGAACCCAGTCAAGGCATCTCAACATGTCGACAGAATCGTACAGCAGGCCGACGGCACCGTCACCGAGAAGATCGTCAGCGAAAACGACTCTTAGACTAGCTGACTCCTGTTTTTGCTTCAGTATAAAGAGCCAGTCTCGCATTCTAACCTAATAGTCACCCATTTTACTTGAGTAGCAAATACAATAGCTAGTTTTTAGGACTACAGCCCTGTCTACTTTCATTTCAATTCATTGGAAACGAAAGGCTTAAACCTTAGTTTCACGTAATATTTACCACTTAGCTACAATAATATTATGCAGCATTGTGTATATGAACGCAGCTTTACGATTCTCTCGATGAAATTTTTCAGTACTCGCCCTTGAGTTTGGCAATGAGTTCTTCTGTGGCAGGAGTATATATACATATTACTTTCCCATTCATTCCCCTTATTACCGCGGTTGTGTAGCGTCCGAAGCACTAAATGAAAAAAGCGAAGGGGAAGATGATGGCGTCGTGGAAAGGTTAAGATGATGTAGGCAAATAACATACATATAACCATCAAAAGAATACTAAAGGACCTCCCCTCTCCATGCCCTAAAATCCCATCACCCTCTCTCTATCATCATCATCAATCGTCCAACCTCATCTAAGCCCCTATTCCCTCCTCGCCCCTCTTTCACGTGACCTCCACACTCTTTCAACAACACAAGTCACACTGTGGTTCACAAGTAAGAAAATCAACATTTGTTACGGCTAAAACATGTAACCTATATGCCGCTGAATCTAGTAATATGGTAAAATGCAGTGCATTATTCAATTACGGTATATATTATTGTTTTATTAAAACTACTCCTAAAATTAAAGGTTTAAAGCATGCTTTTATGTTATCACCTAATATATGGTTAACCGCGGAGAGCCCTCACAAGGCGGCGCTGAGAATTTCGTCTGCGCAAAGACCTTCTGCATATGATCCTCCTTCTTCTCGAACTTGTAATACACTTTGTCTAGATCCTCAACGCGGACACGGTGCGTCACCATCCTAAGCGGGTCAATCTGGCCGTCCTGGATTCTCTTTAGCAGGTCCTCCCAGTAGTACTGTACTGGCGCTTGGCCATTGCCGATGAGGCGGATACCGCGCTCCATTATCGAGCCTAGAAAGGATGTCAGTTAGTGTTCGATTTGAATTTGGAGCCGGCTAACCGATATTGAAGTTGTTTGTATGGCCCACATAGACACCGGTAATTCCGACGCGACCAAAACTTTTCACCGACTCAATCATCTCGTTCAAGATCTCGCTAGTATCTGTTTCAAGGCCGACAGCTATTTCAGCAGTATGAAGCCATCCCTTCGGATACTCGCCAGCCACACATTCAAGTGCAACATCTGGGCCATAGCCATCAACCATCTCCTTCAGCTTGGTTACGACAGGGTTGGTGCCCTTCAGCTCCGAGTAGTTTACACGCTCAACCTTTGGATACTTCTCCTTTACGAAGTCCAGCCGCCAATTGTGATCGATCATGATGACTCTGCTGGCTCCGTTTATGAACGAGAACTCCGCACACATTTGCCCAACAGGCCCTGCTCCCCAGATTGCAACGACATCACCTTTTTTAACGCCAGTGTCCACGACGCAGTTCCAGCTCGTGCACACTACATCTGAGAGGTAGAGACCTTTCTCGTCAGGGACGTCATCTGGAAGCTTGAGAAGGTTTACATCGCCAAGCGGCACGCGTACGTATTCTGCCTGACCGCCAGCGAAGCCGCCAGTGAAATGCGAGTACCCGAACATGCCGGCTGTCCTGCCACCATACATCGCATTCATGCTTTTGTTCGCATTGGTCCTTGCGCATTGCGATGAGAGCTTCTTTTTGCAATACAGGCATTCTCCGCACGCGATCTGGAAGCTCGCCACTACTCTGTCACCTTTCTTGAAATTCTTGACTTCTGGGCCCGTCTCATCGATGATACCACAAAACTCATGACCGAGAATGTCACCCTTCTGCATTTCCACGATCGAGCCGTGCAAAAGATGGAGGTCACTGCCACACACCGTGCTGCCGGTGACCTTAAGGATTACATCGCGGTCTTCAATGAGCTTTGGCTTTGGGCAGTCAACTATCTGTGTTAGTGAAGGAATGCCTGGCAATAAAACGAGCTGGCTTACTGATTTGCACTTTGTTCTTTCCCATCCAAGCTAGCGCCTTCATCGTAATGTTTGGATCACCATACTCCTCTGGATCGAGCGCAGGGTTTGAGACGTCCTGAGCGGTAATTGCGTTGTTGTCGTAGCCAATGGCTTGCTCGACCTTGTGCGCCATCTGTGACGTCGCCATTTTGAAGACTGTCTTGCTGAGCAATCTGAAAATCGATTAGAGCAGAAGGAAGACTGTAACTCGGGAAAGAATAAAGTGAATCCATTCGTATATTAATAGTTTCTCTGCTGCCGCCGTGACGGCCACGCATCTACCGAACGTACCGTCATCATTCTTTCTTCATTGCTAACCGACCTCATGTTTGGATCTGTGGTAGGGGCTATTATTTGTTACGACCTCTGGTAACGATATTGGGGTTATCCACTCCGTTTCAATCCCCAAGATCGTTACCAGAGGTCGTGATTGGTGATGGCTTTAGAGTTTATACGAATGCTATCACAGAGAAAAGACAAGCAAATGACAGCCTGCGGGTTAGGAGATCGACCTACTAGTGAGTCGCGGGCTTGCAACTACCATCAGCCCTACATACGGATCATAGACTCCCGGGTGGGATGTCGTGCGGTAGGGGTGCGGCAGCTAGCAATGTGGCAAAGCTGATTATGTCAGCATGGATAGATAGCTAAGCGGGTTGCTTTATGCCGCATATTACGGGACGTAGTTTACAGAATACATCACTATAAGCCCAAACAAATAATAGCCCCTGCCACGGATCGTGACAGCAATACGATTAGATGGATATGGATCTTAACGTGATGAAGAAGCGAACTATCTTTCTGTGCAATGATTCATTACATGACGCCGTATTGCCGCTTGACCCATGTAATACCGCTAGCTCAGACCCAGCTACCAGCGAATTCGCCCACGACGACAAGATGATGTGAAAGTTTGGGATCTTCCGCATCGACATCGACCTGCTATTCCACGATCTCTGATCTTGGAGATTGATCGGTACTGGCTTTGGAGTCTATACGGCAGCTAGCAATACAGACGGATATTGGGTCTTCCGTGATGAAGAAGCGAGCTATCTTTCTGTGTAATGATTCATTACATGACGCCGTATTGCCAAAGTAGACTGTTCGACTTATGTGATCCATTGGAAACACTACGGGCCCCCGTCACTGTATTCTAGAGCCCTAGCCGCGTAGGACGTTAAGTGGTACTGTATAAATTTACCACAGGACTCTCGAACCTAGCCTGCTGACGAATTCCATGTGTTCCTGTGAACTATAAATTCTTCGTCTGATACAACGCTTTATTGTTCCAAGAGATTCAATTCTTCCGATTAAAAACCCCAACTTACCCAATACAATGGCAAAGTTCAACTCTCAGGCAGTGCAAGATATGCCACACCTAACCCTGTATGGCGCGCAGCTCGCATCTGCTGCCGCTATCGCAAAGGCACAGGAGATACAAGTCCCCGAAGATATTGCTATTGTGGATGCTTCGCAGCAACTCCTCCACTTCCAGCGCATGCCGAAAGCAAAATACGCTAGCATCGACATTGCCATCAACAAGGCCTTTACCGCTGCTGGATTTGGACTCCCAACGCATGCGTATAAGGAGAACGTCTCGCCTGGGGGGCCTTTGTTTGGTATAAATAATAGTAATGGAGGAAGGTTCATGACCATCGGAGGCGGACTACCAATTGAAATAGATGGGCGAGTTATTGGAGCTATTGGATGTAGTACTGGCACACCTGATGAGGATCGGCAGGTGGCACAGGCTGGGGTGGATGCGGTACTAGCACACGTGAAGAAGGAAAATGGATCGTAGGCATTAAGGATATGATTTAGTGTAGTTAAGGTATTCACAATCAACGTCTTTATGGAACTTGGATATCACATCGTACGTGCCCATCCATATCACAGGGCTTATTCTCGTTTGGTGGCATGGCCTTTGCCTTCTTAGCTATATCGCAGGCATGATTCGATCGTCTGACAAAAGCACTGCTCGTTGCACGCTAAAGCTTTGACATTATGTAGTCCTTAGTCCTTGGGCGATGGATGCCCCACGGCATGTCTTCGTTATGATTTAAATTGTGTTGTTAGAAAATAAAGGAGCGACTAATAGAGTAATAAAACTACATTCAGGCAAATAAGCGCAATGTGCAAAGCTGATTATGTCAGCATTGATAGATAGCAGAGGGGGTTGCTTTATGGCTGGACATCGGGAGACGTAGTTTACAGAATACATCACCATCAGCCCAAACAAATAATAGCACGGATCGTGACAGCAGGCCTAACGGAAAATTATCCCGTGATGTTGACGTCTGTTGGTGTACAATGCTGCTTATGCCGGTAATTACGAGGAACGGTTGTATAGACGATGACACAAAGGACGGCCCTGTAGAAGGTAGTACTGCCTTGAATATTTAAAGAAACGACAACGAAACTGAAAAATGTGGTGGGAAAAGCACCCCTTTCCACGTGATCTCCACACTTTTTCCAACAAACACACAATCACGTGACCTGTACCTCTTTCAACGCCCATTTCTCACGTGACATATATGTATTTTTCTTTTTCAAATTTAAAGTGATGACGTCAACATCCCCTTTTCATTCCCGCGTCGCACAACCCATCGAATCCCTACCCAGCGTAGTAGAGACATCCCATTGTCGCAGACGACGTACCAGAGTATGCCAGCGCATCTGTTCTTGGTGTAAGTGTAGCTGTGGTTGTGGCTGCGGCGTCCTGCGCGATTCAGGTGAGTATGGGTGTGCTGGCTGTGGCGTTTATTATTGTGCTGTAGCTGTAGTACTATACTGTCTATGCTGCTGTCTGTATGTTGGACTTGCGTATCGCCACTCTATCGCGATGTACACACTTTTTTGCCACAGCACAGAATACCGGATTGTACTGTAGATAACCAAGCCCAGCCTCCCAGCCTCGCACCCATCACCACCACCCATCACCATCACCCATCACCACCCATACAACCGTCCGTGCCTCCCACCCCATATCCCTCCCATCAGCTCGGCAAGGATCTCAAACGCGTCTGTGTGGATGGATGGTTGGTTGGTTGGTTGGTTGGTGGATATTAGGACGACGTAAACAAAGGCCCACATCCATCCCATTCCCAATCCCGTCACTATATCTGCACGCTAGCCTTGCTAAAAAAGCTTGGGATGTGTGATTTCCCTGTTTTTTGCCGCGGCCCCACACTGTTTCTTTGTACAGAGGTGGGAGGGAGCTTGGGCGATGCGATGGGGACGACGGCGGTCGGGGAGGCTGGATTGGGGGGGGGTTGCGAGGGAGGTGGTAGATGGGGTTGAGGGTGAACCATGGGTGGGTGATGGGAGGAAGGCAGGAGAGAGGGAGGGTTACGGGGTGTCCGAGGTGGATGAGAGAGGTAGAGGTGGATGGGATAGAGGGTGTTGGTGTAGGATGGTGTGAAAAATGAAGGTGAAGATTGGAGATGGGAGTTGGGAGTTGGGGATAGGTCCGTGTGGCGGCAGGAGGTGGGTGGTTGTGAGATCAGAGCGCCAGGAGGTGAGATAAGAGTCTGATGGCAAGTGGGAAGATCTATGGGTTATTTTTGCGTACACACCAGTAATAAGCCATGGGTTAGGTGTTCTTGGAGCTGTTCTTGTTCCTGCCCCAGGACACCAGCGACAGAGACAGAGGGACTTCAGGTACATGTACTCCCTTTTCCCCCATTTGCGACCGCACTGTGCTTGTGCCTGTGCCTGTGGTGTCTGTCTGTGGTGTCTGTCTGTGGTGTCTGTCTGTGGTGTCTGTCTGTGGTGTCTGTCTGTGGTGTCTGTCTGTGGTGCAGCAGAGAGCGACTCATCCCCGTGACTAACTAACCCAATCACATGTCCACCACCACCACAAACAAACACAGCACAACACAATCTCAATTGAGAACGACGACGTATACAGTTAAAATTACGCATCCCCACTCCGGACGGGCTGGTGTCCACAGTGGAGTGCAGTGGAGTGTAGTGGAGCGGGACTAGACGGCAGGGCTTGAGGGAGTGGGATGTGTGTGGATCGACGCGTAGGTGTGAAAGGTGTGTGTGCGTCCCACTCTGCACTGACACATGTGGTACTGACTACGCGAGGAGGCGATGGGGATGGGTGGTGCTGCTGTGGAGTGTGAGTGTGAAATGGACTGCCGTTGTCGTTCGTTCGTCTGGTCTATACGCGTCGTCTCATCTGGTGTGCGGGTATGTAGGTGGGGGGTCTGGTCTACAGTAGTGTCGCCGTTGTTTTTGTCTGGTTCACGGGCGGGCTGCTGTGAGACATTTACTATGGGTTGGGTTGGGTTGGGTGAGACATGCGCAGAGACTTCACCGGCTGGGGATCAACGCGGCTGGCGACACATCACTTGCGCAGTAGCAGAGGTGCAGTACTGGAGACTGACTGGAGAGGAGAGGACGACGGCTTGGTATGGGATGTCCCAGCGCGTATGATGCATGGAGAGCGTAATATGTGGAGTGCTATTTAGACGACTGGTGTATACAGACGATTGTGTATGCGCGATCAGGGAGAGAGGTCACAGCTGTGGAGTGGTGGCTGTGGTGGTCACAGCAGTCACAGTAGTCACAGCCTTCCTCTTGGCGGTATGTTGAACCATGAGGCAAGAGAATCGATAAAAGCGGTGCGCACCAGACAGCCAAATCGATAAAGCGCGACGATGGATACGGCGATCAACAACGATGGGAATGGCTATCACATCGCTACCATCGCTACCACCGTTGAACTTTACTTACCCGAAGGCGGGAAAGGAGAGAAAATGCGCGGATATTCACATGTTGTTGACGTCAGGTCAGGTCATGTCAGGTCAGACTAGTGTTCATCGACTCCCCTTCCTAGGACCTGAAAGAAAGTCTAGTTTTTTTTCGTGTGAGATATGAATGGTCGGATCACTCTCTGTGTGCGACACCACACAGTGGTCTGGTCTACTGTACCAGTCTACAACTCTCTCTACCCGTACCCGCCCAGACTGTAAATTTGCCAAGACGGTACTCGCTGGATATGGGTGGGAGTTGTGGTGGGAGTGTGGTTGTACTACGCCGAGCCGAGATCTGCCAGCAGGGGGGTAGGGGGGGGGATAGCCGATACTTTGTTGTTATCCCGGAGCTGGGCGAAGATCTGAGGGGGAGACGATGTGACGCGACTGACGAAATAGATGGACTGGGCGGAGGTGGTGGATATGATGTGTATATCACTCTGGGGCACTCAGACAGAGACAGCTGGAGGAGTGGATAGAAATCAGCGGATATGACTGAATATCAGCGAACATCATGAACATCACTCACTGGACATCACTCAGTTATAACTGAATATCAATAAACATCTAACTGATCTTCATAAACGCTACTCTAGTATGAGTTGAATATGGGAATATCGATTGAGGGTATCCATCTCTGGGCCTACTGTACCTCTTACTCCTCGCTAACAGTGCTAACAGTGCTAGCGGTACCTCGCCCTGATGTACTTCTAAAATCTAAAATAGCGTACCGTCCTTCCCACCTCTCTTAATCCAGCACACATTCGGGACTTCCTCCGTTAGTTACTAACCCCCTTGTCCCCTCCCCTGTGTCTCGGAGCTAGGATTGCACTAGGGACACACCACTAAGACACTACTAACCCACTACTAACCCACTAAAGTCTAGCACGAATGGGGACCTGGAACCGGGATGGGACTTCAAATGGATACTGCTAATCTTAGGGAAACCTGCACCTTGTAGAACCTAAAATTCCCAAATCCCAATCTCCCCTTCACCCAATTTGCCATTCCCATTCCCATCCTCCTCCCTCCCCCTACCCGGCTGCAACCCTACCTGGCTGCTGCAAACACCACCCCACCCCTACCCTTACCCTTCCTCTCCCTCTGACGCCTCGACCTTGCTTTTCGCCCTACACTAACCGACTCCATTCTCGCGCTACCCCTCCTCCTCCAATTCCCTTCTTCTCCCACCTTTCCCTCTTTTTCTTCTCTCCTCCATCTTGCACAATAGCTATTTAGGTAGCTTTTGAAAAAAGGTCGAGGCTCCCCTCTTCCCTCCTGCAACATCACCGCCACCCTGGCATCATCACCGACGAAAGACGAAAATAACTACAACCTCACCATCAATTGAGCTTTCATTAATTTCCCATTCCTGCGAGCGAGCTTCTCGCACCCAGATCGCCCATCATGGACGGCCTCTTCAAGAGAGCAGATCCAGCTCCTACCGACTCCGACAAGGACTCCTCCGTCTCCGGTCTCGTCGCGACCCTGATCCCGACCTTGGTCGTCGCCCTCGTCTATGTTTCCATCTTCCTGGTCCTGCGTCGGTCGCACCGTCGCTTCTATGCCCCGAGAACCTACCTTGGGACTCTACGTGATAATGAGCGCTCCCCAGAGCTCCCAACTGGCATGTTCAACTGGTTCGGCACCTTCTGGAAGATCCCCGACACCTACGTTCTGCAGACCCAGTCGCTCGACTCATACCTGTTCCTGCGCTACATGCGCATCCTGGTCGCCATCTGCTTCTTCGGCTGCCTCATCACCTGGCCCGTCCTGTTCCCCGTCAACGCGACGGGCGGCAATGGCGCCCAGGGTCTCAACATCCTGGCGTTCGGCAACCTGAACAAGAGCACCGATGGCAAGAACCGCATGTACGCCCACGTCTTCATCGGATGGATCTTCTTCGCCTTTGTCCAACTCATGGTCTGCCGCGAGAGCATCTTCTACATCAACCTGCGCCAGGCCTTCCTCCTGTCGCCCGTCTACGCGAACCGCATCTCCTCCCGCACTGTCCTCTTCACCTCCGTCCCCGACGTGTACCTCGATGAGGCCAAGCTCCGCAAGGTCTTCGGCGACGAGGTCAAGCACGTCTGGATCACCCGTGACACCAAGGAGCTCGACAAGCTCGTCGAGGAGCGCGACAAGACCGCCTTCAGACTCGAGGGCGCCGAGACCAAGCTGATCAAGCTCGCCAACAAGGAGCGCCTCAAGGCCGCCAAGAAGAGCGGTTCCTCCAACGACGAGGAGCCCGTCGTCGCCACCGCCGACTCCGAGTCCGGATCCATCGCCGCCCGCTGGCTCCCATCTAAGAAGCGCCCAACCCACCGCACTGGCCTCCTCGGCCTTTTCGGCTCCAAGGTCGACTCCATCAACTGGTGCCGCGAGAAGCTCGAGAAGCTGATCCCCGACACCGAGGTCGCGCGCGAGAAGTACAAGGCCGGCGGCGACAAGCTCGTCAACGCCGTCTTCATCGAGTTCCTCACGCAGTCCGCTGCTCAGTCCGCATACCAGTCCCTGTCCCACCACCAGGCCCTCCACATGTCTCCCCGCTACATCGGAATGCACCCCAACGAGATCGTCTGGAGCTCCCTGCGCATCTCCTGGTGGCAGAAGGTCGCCCGCCGTTACGCGGTCCAGGCTTTCATCGCGGCTCTCATCATCTTCTGGGCCATCCCCGTCGCGGCTGTTGGTCTCATCTCCAACGTCCCGCAGCTCGCTACTCTCTCTTGGCTCAGCTGGCTCAACAAGATCCCACCCAAGATTATGGGTGTTGTCTCGGGTCTCCTGCCATCTGTTCTCCTGTCTATCCTCATGTCCCTCGTTCCGATCATCATGCGCATCCTCGCCAAGGTCTCCGGAGAGCCCACCCTCGCGCGCGTCGAGCTGTTCACCCAGAACGCATACTTTGCCTTCCAGGTCATCCAGGTCTTCCTGGTCGTCACCATCGGCTCTGCCGCCTCGTCCGTCGCCAAGAAGATCGCTGATAACCCCAGCTCCGTCACCAGTCTCCTGGCTGAGAAGCTGCCCCTGGCGTCTAACTTCTATATCTCCTACTTCATCCTGCAGGGTCTGACTATCGCCTCCGGCGTCGTCTCCCAGGTTGTTGGTTTCTTCATCTTTGGCCTGCTTTACAAGTATCTCACCTCTACCCCGAGATCCATGTACACCAAGTGGACTACTCTGAGCGCCATATCATGGGGTAGCATTCTCCCCGTGTACTCCAACATTGCTGTTATTGGTAAGCTCCTGCTCCCTCCCCATTCCCAAGACCCCTAACTCACTCATCCAGCCATCACCTACTCCCTGATCGCACCCCTCGTCATGGGCTTCGCCACCGTCGGCATAACCCTCTTCTACCTCGCCTACCGCTACAACATCCTCTTCGTAACCGACAACACCATCGACACCAAGGGCCTCATCTACCCCCGCGCCCTCCAACACCTCCTCACCGGCGTCTACCTCGCCGAGATCTGCATGATCGGACTCTTTGGTATCTCCGCCGCCATCGGCCCAATCATCTTGATGGTCGTCGCACTCGTCGGAACAGTCCTCTTCCACATCGCCATGAACTCCGCCCTGGACCCCTTGTTGTACAACCTCCCCAAGTCCCTCGAGGCAGAGGAGGAGCTCCTCGCTCTCGAGTCGGGAACGAGCACTGTTACACCTGGCGTCGTCGGCGCCCAGAACGGCGAGAAATCCCTCGAGGACGGCGAGTCTGCCAACCCTGCTCTCCTCGCCTCAGAGGCAACAGGCGAGAAGACCGTCGTGGCCCTACCAGCCGCACCGCACGCTAAGCCGAACATCCTGACTAAATTCCTGAAGCCGCACATCTACGCCGACTACGCCACCCTGCGCCGCCTGGTCCCCCACGACGTCGCGGGCGCCGTGTCGAACTACAGCCCTGAAGTCGAGCGCGACGCGTACTTGCCTCCTAGTGTTAAGAGCGAGACCCCTCTGCTCTGGATTCCGAGGGATGAGATGGGGATTTCCAAACAGGAGATCGCGCATACGGCGAAGGTGATCCCGATTACGGATGAGGGTGCGGCGTTGGATGAGAAGGGAGCTGTGTACTGGGTTGCGGAGAAGGAGGAGGGTGCTAGGCCGCCGATTTGGGAGGAGAAGACTTATTATTAGATAAGGAGCGTTCTCTCGAAGTGTAATAAGGAATGTTGTTTTAGGTGTTTTGAGATAGGTGGGGGGATGTGGTTAATGTTCGGGGATGATGCGGGTACGGAATGGAATCTTGATACCCTTCCTTTCTTTCATGGGATTATTATATCTGGAGATTGGGTGGGGGGATGTATAGGGTTAGTCTTTAATTTTTGATATCAAAAACTATAGTGTGTTTTCCTCGTATTGCCTGCCTGTCTGTGTAACTTTTTGTTATTGGTTGTGTTGTGTTGTGGGTGATGATTCCAGAGTCGTGCTTTGTGATATTTACGAGCCAAGCGCACACCAAGCGTTGTTGTTGTCGTCATAGACGGAAAATAATTCCCCCGCCCCGCCCTGACGAACGCGGGGTGGTCGTCCGAGGTTGCCATCCATCCACCCAATCCATCCACCCAATCCATCCACCCAGGCAGACAGACAGCTTCGTCAAGCTACCAAAAAACAAATTCACTCACGAACAACAACCGATTTGAACAATTTCCATCTCACAACATCATCATCTCAAGACGGAACGATCTCTCCATACGAGCAATACTTCTCATCCATCCACCCTATCACCCACACCCACACACATAAACACCGCGACAATGCCAGACACAACACCCACCATCGTCACGCCCGCGACGGCCACCTCACCAGCTACGGAAATGAAACGGAAGACTTTCGTTCCGCTTGGTTCGTCCTCCCCTCCCCTTCTCCCTTCTCTCCTCCTCCCCAGCCCTCTCAATCCTCACAATCCTCACAATCCTCACAATCCCCACCCCTCCCCTTCCCCTCCCCTCCACCTTCCCCTCCCCCCCCCCCCCCAAACCCAAACCCAAACACTGTACGCACATCAGCTAACACCCCCCCCCCCCCGGCAACAGAAAACAACCCCCAAATAATGACCACCCTCCTCCACTCCCTCGGCCTCTCCCCCTCCCTCGCCCTGCACGACGTCTTTTCCCTGACCGACCCCTCTCTCCTCGCTTTCGTCCCGCGCCCCGCCTCCGCTCTCCTCCTCGTCTTCCCAGTGAGTGAGGGGTATGAGAAGTATAGGAGAGAGGAGGACGAGGGGTTGAGTGAGTATACTGGGAAGGGGTTTGCTATTGATGCTGGGGAGGGGAAGTTGGGTGAAGAGGAGGGAGGGAATGAGGGGGGGGTATTGTGGTTTAGGCAGACTATTAGGAATAGTTGTGGGTTGATGGCGTTGTTGCATGCGGCGGGGAATGGGAGTGCTAGGGAGTTCGTTGGTGAGTTTTAGTCTTTCCCCTTTCCCCTTTCCCAATTTCCCGATCCCTCCCCCCCCCCCACAAACCATCTTCTCGATCCCGGAATGAGACGCACAAACTAACCCCCCCCTCAGACCCAGACTCAACACTCGGCCAACTCCTCAAAGACGCCACGCCCCTCCCCCCCACCGAGCGCGCGGATTTACTCTACAACTCCCCCTCCCTCGAAGCCGCCCACTCCGCCTCCGCACAACAAGGCGACACCGCCGCCCCACCCGCAGACGACATCGTAGAACTCCACTTCGTGACCTTCGTCGTCGTGAATGGCAAACTATGGGAACTAGATGGGAGGAGGAAGGGACCGATTTGTAGGGGGGAAGTGGGAGATGAGGATGTCCTTGGGGAGAAGGCCCTCGAGATGGGACCGAGGAGGTTTGTGGGGAGGGAGGAGGGGGAGTTGAGGTTTAGTGTTGTTGCGTTGGGGCCGGGGTTGGATTAGGTGTAGGTTGGGGGTTTGGGGGGGGGGAAGGGGGGAGGGGGAGGGGGTATGGATGTGGTTATGAACGGGATGAAGGAACTTTGATGCTGATACGGTGGTATGGGGAGGGGGTGTCATTGGCAGATGTCAGATATATACCGTCGTAAAAGAAGAATGAATGCATACGACCATAGACTCAAGAGAATTGGGCATCCCGTCCGCTCTGCCATACACAAGCTTGTAATCCACTTGCATTTTACTCTCAATCGTGCCAATAGGCATAACGTGGAATCTGAGCCCCTTGCAGCCTTGAAGGGTGAAGCGAGGGTGAGCAGGGTGGTCTTGCTCTTATTTTCTAGGTACTTTTGCCATTGTTGAGCGGTAACTACATTTAATCACGTGATTTGGAAAAGGAGAAGCAGTCGTCTGTGGGTGGGAGGACAGGAATACGGGGGGGACCACAGACGAATTGTAAGTTGTCTCCGGCGGCCGGAACTCTTCACTTTGGCGCAACAGAACAGAAGGCTTCAAACAGTAGAACACGGTAAATACAGTATATATAGATCAATTGAATTACTACCTAATCTACGGGCCTACGTACGCTATTTGTAGTCCTGGGAGAAACCCCCAAAACCCTGATAAGCTGGGCTTTCCGGACTCAGCTTGGCTTTGGATCAGTGGCTTCCAATAGTATGGCGTCACTGTCTCATCCGCAAACCAACTGGGAGCTGGACGGTCCCACGGGGATAACCCGTCGTTTTGGGCGTAAAAACCGACCGTATCCCACGGGGAAGTCCGTTTCCCCCAACATTAGCAGGTGTTGAACTATGTCACCTGCACTGTTGAGGCTGTGTAGCACCCTGGACATATCTTTTTCCCATTTCCAGGCTATGGAGACAAGGATTTCACGTCATCAACCATACAGCTCCACCCGTAGCGATGATGCGATTTGAGGCTCTGTTGGCCTTTGCTCAAAACTATGCAAGAGGTTCAAGGACGAAGAAAGTGCTTGACGTGATCGAACTTTGAGTGGTGGAATGTTCGCACTGCCTGCGCCATATTTTCCCCGCAGTATTGCCCCCGCAGTATTTCCCCCGCAGTTTTCCCTGCCAATATTTCCCCACACTTTTCGGCGGGACAGCTTGTGGAGGCGCAACGCTAGAGACGGGACATAGATGTTCGGATGTGGGACCGCTGGATCTGGGGTGAAGGCAATTAGATCAAGGGTGGTCTAGCCCGTCTTTCGCTATATATTACTGATCACAGTACAGTAACAGTACCCCATGTTACAACATGTGAGAGAGATAAAGTCAAAGGCTCACGCTCAGTTGATTTATGGACTGGAGCCCTGGCAGCTTCATCATTTGTCCTTCAGTTCAACAAATTGTCATTGTAATCAACATAAGCTCGGCAAAATGTTTTCTGATGGGACAATTCAGGAGAAAGCCGACAACAATGACACTGTCCATCACGAGCAGGCCGGAAGAGACAATCTGAAGTCGGCGTCTCCTCCTTCTCTGGACGCGAATCTAGTGTATGACAACGACGAAGAAGAGCCAGAGATTCATACGCGGACCTATCTCGCTCTACTGGCCATGTTCACGCTGAATTTGGTCCGGGTGTTAGCTCTCCAAGGACCTCCTGCAGTCGTAAGTGAAAAGAGTCACCCTAGCAGGTATCGTCAGTTGAATAATACCCTAATGCATTTAGTTATCCTACATAGGAAAAGATCTCAATGATCCGGTTCGTGAGACCTGGGTGCCGAATGCCCTCTCACTAGTGCAAGCGGTCGTGGCTCCCGTCATCAGCTCTGCCTCAGACACTTTCCAAGCTCGGAAATCACTTCTCGTAGGCTGTTCTCTGATATCTTTTATCGGTGCAGCGATTGCGCCGGGATCTAAGGACATCTACCGGCTGATAGTCGCCCAGATCTTGATTGGATTTGGTTTTGCTACAGTTCCACTAGCCTACTGTGTTCCCAGTGAAATACTTCCAAAGAGATGGAGGCCTAGTAAGTCCCATAATCAACAGTATTTATACAACTGCTTTATTACGAGATTGACCTAACTGGTTTGCAGTGGTGCAAGCTGGTATGAACGTTGCTGCGGCTCTTGGCGCTTGCATAGGACCTTTGATAGTTGGTGCTTTAACAAGGACAAACTCGCATACTGGGTGGCGTAATTTCTATGTAAGCGTTATTATCTTTCTCAATTTACCAATGAAACTATGCTTACATCTCTAATAGTGGTTTCAAATGGCACTTTGGGGAATAACCGCGCTTGGTATCTTCCTTGGCTACAGACCGCCAAAGAGACATACTCGTCTTGATCACCTGTCGTTTGCACAAAAGATCGGGCGACTCGATCTTCCAGGTTTTGCCCTTCTTACTGCTGGTCTCGCTCTGTTTTTGACTGGGCTTAATCTTGGTGGAAGTATTTTCCCATGGCGAGCTGTTGAAACACTGTCTACGCTGATTATTGGCCTTGTGCTCCTTATCGCGTTCGGTATTTACGAATGGCTGTTCACTAAGACAGGCATCTTGCATCATGATCTTTTTGTCGCTGGAAAGGATACCGGACGTACCTTCGCTATCTGTGTTGGCCTTATGTTCATTGAAGGCATCTTGCTCTTTAGCTATATCATATTCTATCCGGTCTTGTATGTTCACTATATCAAAGCCTATGTACACTTCACTAATTATCATTAGGACAACCTCGCTTTTTGAGACAGACGCATTTCTGTTAACGGCAAGAGAGCAGCCTTTTTGGGTAGCTGCTGGATTAAGCACAATACCTTATGGCTACGTCAGCACAAAGCTGAGGAACATTAAGGGCCCACTGTTCGTTGGATTCCTCCTCATGACTGCTGGCATCGTCGGACTCGCTACGGTTGAACCAAGCCATTCCACGAATGCGGTTATCTTTTCCGGGCTTGCTGGTGTTGGATTCGGCGCTCCCCTCATACTAATCATCTCAGGAGTCCAGCTTTCTACACCCCATCATCTGATTGCTACTGCGACTGCAGTGACCACGTCATTCAGAGCTGTGGCCGCAACTGTTTTTACCGCAATCTATGCTGCGGCACTGAGTAACCGGCTCGCTAGTTACATACCAAGCTATATAGCTGCGGCAGCCAGAAGCGCCGGGTTGCCTACAAGTTCTATTACGGAATTTGTCGGAGCTCTAGCCTCCGGTAATGCCACAGGAGTCGCACATGTCCCTGGAGTCAATCCGCTCATTGTTGCAGCAGGAACTGCGGCTTTGAAGCAAGCATCAGCAGATGGGATACGAGTAGTGTTCATCATAGCAGCTCCGTTTGGTGCAGTGGCGTGCATAACCTGCTTCTTTATTGGCGACCTAAGGAAGGTTATGAATTACCATGTTGACGCGCCATTGGAGGATTTACACGCGAAGAACCATCACGCCGTAACTGCTTAAGACATTGAAAACTTCATACGGAGGGAACAAAGTTGCATTTAAAGCACTGCTTCTAATTATAGCTGATATAAATCTGCGCATTTTACTTAGCCACGCCTTATTCAATGTAAAATTACTTTTATTAATTGTTAAAATAGAGCGCCTATCCTATTTTAGAGCTATGTGCGTATTAGGTTGGACTAGCTAGTAGCCATCTGTATGAAGTTATGGCTAATATATGACATTAAAATGCAGGTGTTGTAGGAGATCAGTAAAGGTACGATTTTCCCGCTATGGCTATCCATGACCGTTTCCTCAGGTGCGCACGTTAATCTCATAGTATGTATTTACGACAGAGGATGAGGTGATAATTTTCTGGGGGTGCGACGGATGCCAATCAAAGATAGCAATTCAATATGTTGGGTCTATAAAGTGATGTTACTACGTATGCTCATTTCCCTTGATATACTTGGAGGGTTTGGGCCTCTGCCGAGAAACTGTCCTCTTCGATCTAGAATGGATGGATTTGCTCATAATAATCATTGTCGTCATTTACTGTTACTGCGCATGCACAACTACAGCTAACTAACTTAGTCTGCTTCGCCACGGAAACAAAGGGACCTTGTCGCAGCTTTGCACATGGTATACACGGCTTCTTAGCGCTCAAAGTTACATTGGCCCACATTCGGCTTTCGGCCTCGTTCGACATTGGGCCAACCCCATTAATCATCTGGGGGGTTGGACATGGATCAGGCCTATAGCCCCATCATTTGTTTTTTGCCTTACACGCTATGGCTGAATTCTCCTGCCGAATTGTCCTGCCGAATTATTAACAATGGTGGTTGCTAGCGGACCTATGCAGAGTTGGCATCCATATAGTTGGTCTTACCGTGGTCCCACAAGTTGTTAGTGTACTAGAGCTCACTAATGAAATCAAACTCTCTGATTCCGTCCCACATTGTTGTCCCACATTGTTGTCCCCACATTGCTGTCCCAAATAAAATTGTCCCACATCCTTCTCGCCCCACATCGCAGGAAGCGGTAACCCCCTTTGCCACTGTATACCTATCGCATCCGTCGATAATTATGTTGGTCTCCAACTTACACATTCTGCAGAGGGTAGTACGGAGTAGGGATTCGGCAAATGTCGTGAGCTTGTATGAAGGTTCCGAGTGATTCTAAGTTGATCGATTGACTCTCTGTTTGGATGTGGGACTCTTTAGTATCGCTGAACCGCCCTCATGGGGCATCCCACAGCATATAGATACACATCTGCCCAATACATTCGTTGTGTCTCATGATTTAGAAACTCTACCTGATTTATCCCAGCACCTGCCACTGGCTTCTTCAGAAAATGCCTTCTTGGACTCATCTTATTCGTTTTGTTGCCGTTGAAGACAATCAGTCGCACATCGGACAGTTAGTAGATCCAAGTCGCGATGTCGGATTAGACACCTTGGAGGGGCGCGAGGTGAAAGCATACGAGATTGTCGGCACCATTTTCGACGGAGAGGTTACCGAAAACATTTTCACCGTGAAATTCGTAAGTTCGACGTTGCCAACTGAGTTCGAATTATAACCTTAACCAAACTTCTAGCTACAATCACCTGTTGAACGAGAGAGTTGCAACTATATCAGATGTCTCGGTCTGAATTATAAAGATCATGCACAGGTAAGAGCCCAGGATTAAGCACAATATCAGCAATACCTCAACTGTAACTGACCACTATTACAGGAGGGTGGTTTCGCTATTCCGAAGGTTCCTATTCTCTTCACGAAGCCGCGTTCCGCATTGATCGGGCCTTACCCAGCCACAGTCAACATCCCCAAATGCGCGCAGGACGGCACTAGCGATTATGAATCAGAGCTCTGCCTTGTAATCGGCAAGACTGGTCGGGATATCTCAGAAGAAGATGCCTTAGACTATGTTCTAGGCTATACTGCTTCGAACGATGTGTCAGCAAGGACTATGCAGATGATCACAGCTCAATGGAGTATGTCAAAGGGCTTGGATAGTAGCTGTCCCATTGGCCCTGTCCTGGTTGCCACTTCTGTCATTCCAGATCCACAGACTCTGCAAATCAAGGGCAGCTATAATGGAACAACTGTACAAGACGGACACACTAGGTAAGGGTTTTAAGCATACCCCCTGATTATCACGCAGACCCACTAACCTAAGAAGCGACATGATCTTCAACATCCGCCAACAAATCTCCTACCTCTCTAAAGGAACGACACTCGAGGCAGGAACAATCTTCTTGACGGGCACTCCAGCCGGAATCGGCTACTTTCGTAAGCCAGCTGTGGTGCTTGAAGATGGTAGCCAGTTTTCTGTCTATATTGAAAAGATCGGGACATTAGTTAATAAAATACGCTACGAGTAGAAGAGCTATAGCCGGATTTGAGCCGTTCACTTACACGGGTCCGTGTTAGAGAGGAAAATTTTCTACGTTTAGGTATGTGCACGGCACTTTTTAGAATACTAGGTTTATGTCGATGGTTGCCAATTACACATTTGAGTCGGAGGAAGAAAGTGACACTAAATTACACCCATAAGTTACTGCTAGAATCTATTCTGTAGACTACTTAAGCTAGATTATCATCAAAGCATACCTCTATAATGTAATATTCAAGCTAACTGCGGAAATAAAAATAATAAGCGTTTCCGTTTCATATTATTTGCTATGCAGTGGTTCCTACTGTGAGCGAAGAGGCGTCGGACCAATTATGTGGGGGACCAATTATGTGGGGACCAATTATGTGGGTGACCAATTATGTGGGAATGGGTCTTCCCCAGGATTGTTCCCCGCCATTTCTTTCTCTCTCCGCAACCCCTTCCTATTCACGCTGCATTAGATATGTTGATGCCCCGTCCTCACTACATATTTTAGGACATCTTTTATAACTAAGAATGTCGACGCCACTAAGGACAATCTCGAGGCGAAGCACTAGGAATCCCTCTGACAGCCGGAACGAACCTGCCGGTGCTGCCGGTGTTCGAAACAAGGACAAGCATTGCCAATACTGCGAAAAGATATTTAGGAAGACAGAGCATCTTCTACGACATGAGCGAAGCCATACAAAGGAGAAGCCATTTCGTTGTGATATGTGCAGTAAGGTTTACACTAGACAGTATCCGCGCCACCTGATTATCTCTATAGTACAGGGCTAAATTGCCATAGTGACACTCTACTTCGACACTCCAAAACCCATGACATCGACCTTTCTCATCTCGAAGCCGGCATCACATTATCGCAAATGAACCATGATGGCCATATATCTTCTGAGAACAATAGCCACAGCACAGAGCAACGTGCGACAGAACGACCTGAAATAAACTTTGATCTTCAAGGTTGGCCAAGTGCAATCCCAGAGCAAATTAACAATAGCACAATGCAAAATGGCTATGAGAGCCAGACGTCGCCCTTTCCCACGGTGCACCTAACCGTTGCCGCAGATGGCAACGTACATGATATGCGCACGCAGACTACAATACAGAGTGACAGCCAGCGACTCTTTATGGAAAACTTATTTCCAGACCCAACGGGAAACCTCACCGGTACTCCACTAATATCTGCGAATATGCCTTGGGGGGGGTCACTGATGTCTCCAGGGCCGTCATGGTTGGTAGGCTATGATTTCGATCTCGAGGCATTGAACACGTCAGTCTCCACGACCCTGTGCGCCACCGAGCCTTTATTTCAATCTCAAGTTAATCGAACGGCCATGCCAAGTGCGCTACAGTTGGGAGAGATTCCTGAGGCTGAGATGCATGGAGAACGAAAGGATGTCACAAACGAATGCGTCCGCAGAGGATGGTTCTCTCATATTGACCCGTTTGATGAAAAGGATGATCATGGCGGTGCCACCACAGGCGAGATGACTCCAGTCACCGCGAGAGATCAATATGACATCGGAGACAGCTTCCGTCACAGGATAAGCCAACGACTTAGAGCTCGCACAATTGATGAGCCGCTCCCGTCGACAAAATTCCTGGTATGCCAATTTTCTGTCAAATGACTTAGACGAAGACAGAAATCTGATACTAAACGCAGAATCTATCCGTCCAAATATATTTTACTAAATTTAATCCTATATTTCCGGTTATACACGGCCAGACGTTTCGACCTACACCGAGGAACTCGCTGCTACTATTATCAATCACGTCCATAGGTAGTTTACTTCTCGGATCAAAGGGAGCAGCAAGCCAGGGTATACGTATATTTGAAAGGCTTAACAAAGCTATTCTAGCGTCGGTGTGTAATTTGAAACGGCAAACCACTCTACATACGGCTAACCAAACTTCTAGTGGGAAAATACAGTCTTATCTGACCCAACAGAGGCGGCATCCATGATACAGGCAGCCTTAGTCGGCCAAACATTCGGCTTCTTATCTGGGGTATATTTGGCCTTGATTAATCTAATGCCGTTTCTAACAATCTATTCATTGGCAGATTTCAAAACATCTTGCTATTGTAGAGGCCTTTCATGGCTCAATTATTGCTGTAGGTTTCGGGGTACTAAACTCCGCAGTAGTAAGGCTAATGTCTTCCATATAGTGGGCAAGGAGATGTCAAATGTTTAACTATAGAACAAGCCATCCCCAAGTTGAACATCTAAGTGGTGCGAGTTTGCATGAGGCTTGGAAGGCTTGGGCAAGATCGGAGTCAATTGTGAGGTATGTGGGTATCCAAGGCGGAAAACGCGTTTACTTATATTGGATACTTTGAAGGACAGTGCTAGGATTGTACATCCATGATGCCAAGCTTGCTTGCATGTTTCATCATGAACCACTTCTCCGTCACGATTCAATCCTGGTGCCGGTGGCCGCTGACGACGACATCTTCAATGCACCCAGCGCAGCCATCTGGAGAGAGAAAATGCTCCGTCAGTCGGCATCTCGGATACCAGTTCATGAATGTCTACACGTAAATCATCACCACGATCATGGTTCGCGGCTACTGCCCCAGGAATTAAGCTGGAAAAATAGTCACTTCACTGCATATGTCATACTCTATGGCATCTCCTCGACAATTAGCGAGAAACAACAGATGGGTCAAATACGTCCTGCTTCTGCAAACTTTAACAAATATTTTGAAGCTCTCATTTGTTGGTATCGCACCTTTCAAAGAGACGTCGGCGTTTCTGAAAACCAAAATATCCAGCGTCCTGACACGCTCTGCCTCATGGTACTATGGCACACTGTCTTCATGAGCCTAGTAACTGATTTTAATGTCCTCGAACGCGCTGTTGGCCGCAATGGCGCAGAGAACTGGACGTTGGATGCGGATCTTGCATACGCGACTAGTTGGGCAACATCGAGAGAAGCCCAGCGCTGCATTCTCCACGCCCATGCCCTGCTCTACTCTCTTGGAGCCTTGCGCCTCGACGCTGAAGCTGCCATCCATATTCCACACTGCCTCTTTCTAGCAGGAATAGCCAGTTACTGCTACACACGCTTCCGTCGACCTAGCTCATTTGAAACACATGGCCATAATCAAACCTCTCACCTAGCCTCCCCTGACTCACAGCTGCAGCCCACCATGGAGTTCCCTGAGTTTACAGTTCGAGGAGTGCCAATACCGCAACACCTCTTCGGTTCGCCAGCAGCTAGCACTAGTGTAGGCGGTACCTTCCCGGCAACTGATGACGCCAGTAATGCGTTTAGTCCAGAAGAGGATCCTACGACGCGATTCCGACCAACCTCAGATGTGGGGGCTGCCATGATGTGTACGTTAATCGACATGTTACAACGGATTGGACATTGGGGCATTGCACGGAAGTATGCTGCAACGTTATCCACCCTCGTGGATGCGGACAGCGATGAGGACTGGAGGTTCATCATGAGCGATCACTAGCGGACTCTCACGGGTAACTCAATAACAACCGGCGACACGCTGTGTCAGACACTCATTTAAATGCATCGTTTTTAAAAGGGCTATTCATTGTATAATTAGAACTAAAATCAGATACTTCAGATGATCTAGTTCTTCTGGGGCGCACCGTCAAATTCTCATCGAATCTTTCTCATGGCCGCCTATTCCAGGAAATCAGCGGGAACCTCTGGGCCCCACACTGCAAGGGATTCGCTCCCTGCGGGACCAAAGCCAATAGGTGTATCTTTGTTGACAGTGTCTCCATCCGTGTAGTGCTATTAGAGGAGTTATCAGCAAATGCATTGGAAAGGGCAGAGACATCGAAAGAGATGATGGGATAGGAGAAAAAGCGATACAAACGTACCTCGATCATGAAACCGGTAGGGTCCCACCAATAATCAAATATTTGGGACCCCAGGATATGTCGGCCTACTCCCCAAACAGATTTGTAACCCTTCTTAGCTAGCCATCTAGAGAAACGTTAGCTCACAAGAGTATGTTTACTTCTGTCGTTACAGATATGATGCGTCAAACAAAATGGTGGAAACGTACTGGTGTCCCAGTATCTGGGTATCAAAGTCATGCACCTCGAAAGAGGCGTGGTGCACATGTGCCGTCGGGTTCTTGCTCATGAAGAAGGTATGATGGTCGACGTAGTCATCGCCCCGGTCGATGTGTGCAAAGAGCGCTACCTCGATACGTGCGGATGGATCGTTCGGGTCCTGAACGTACATGAAATCGGACGGGACGAGATTAAAAGTGCGGGTGTAAAATTGGACTTGCTTTTGAAGGTCAAGGACACAGAGGCCGTAGTGGCCGAGCTTGTTGTTTGTCAGTACGCATCCTCAGACCACGCCCCGAGATATTATTACCTTGTGGACTGCAGCTGGGCCTGCTGTAAAACGCTGGAAGGATCCTATGCGCGGCTTATCTTCTTCAAAGTTGTATACGAGCTTCTCAGGGAGCTGGCCTGGTTCGACTAATTCCTGGCCATATAGGAGGTTGACGGGAAAACCTTCCGGGTCATAGATTGTAACACGGCTGCCCCCTCCTGGAGCGTTTGTCAACTCTTCAATCTTACTTGCGCCGGGTATTGCCGCAGCCCTAAATTATTATTAGCAATGATGGCCTCGTCTAGATGCGTAGAAAATGGCTCTCGGGTACCAACCTCTCTAAATCTGCATAACTCTCCACAGTGTACGAACCGCCAAGGAACTTCTTCGGACCTTTCTCAACCACATATACATAAGGTTCCGAGCCATATCCTCTGTACCAAATGGCGTCCTCTGTTTTCTTCACGCAATGCATCCCAAAGTTCTCCAAGAATATCGAAATCTCTGTGAAGTCGGGCTGCTGGTAGCGCATATGTGATAGGCATACAAGCCGGATTTGTTTGCTCTGGTCGATTTTCTCTCGGGCCTTCCAGTCGCTGATGCTCATGCTGTCCCAGCCGATCATTTTCATTGCTTCCTTAGCGGGAAGTGAGTACCCTTCATTGCCATTATTGAGGGGACCGGGTTTAGAAGCCAGGTCGGGATATGCTTTCTGGCCACCACTATTCTAATTGTGTGAGATGATGATTTTGAAGATGGGATGAGCCACGAGAAGACATACTGTGATGTCGGCCACTGTAGAAACCATGTCGGAGTATTCAATAGTGAGAAGACCTGAGTGTTGTTTAAAGTCTTCTTAGCCTCAGTTCTGGCCTAACTGAAGGTGATATACGACGCACACGGTTTAAGTAGCAATCTTAAAGAATAGGTGCATCTGTACTATAGATATCCTTATGATCATAACACAAAGAGTGTTAGAGTAACCTTTCATACATCATATAAGTCTACTAGCTACCCCGCACAACTGCCGAGGAATTGCAGTTTGTATACGAATAGTTGTTAAAGCCGGTTTCGTTGTCCGGAGAAATGCAAGTACATACGTGAATGGCGGGACGGTGGGATCTGAATGGTGGGACAGTGGGACAGTGGGACAGTAGGACTGTGGGACTGTGGGACTGTGGGACGGGAACGTTTTGGGATGAAGATCCACTTTGTCGGACCAAAAAGAACGTTAGGCAGCTTCCCCACTATCCCCACAATCTATCACCTAATCCATACCTGTAAATAATAACTGTTAGAGAAGTATTCTTCTACAATGTTGCGTCCCTAGTAAGATAGATCGGCTCTACGGAGCAGGCGTTGTTCAATGTGCCTCAGTCCCACCAGTCTCTTTTTCACCCCTGCCCCGTCGCAATACTCCCACATATCCGCCTGCGCAACGGGTGTGTTCGTTAGCTCCTAGGTTCTCCGCGGTTTAATGCATGCCAGTCCTTATCCAAGTCAATCAAAAAAGTAGATCATTAGATTTATGGCAGGTGTTTCCCCTGTGGGCCGGCTACCCGTGGCGTTTCATGGCGCTGCGTTTACTAAAAAGACTCACTTGGATAGTTGTTAGCATTGGCTCTGACCCATCTTCATTCTCTTGATCTGTTATTTCACAAGAACATCCGCCGCTGAATTTCTAATAAGCCATAATAATCTATGGTGGCCTCGTCAGTTACGATGTCCTCAGCAGTGGACGAAGAATTCGAGATAATTATCTGCGGATGTGGTCCTACAGGCGCGCTGCTCTCTGCAAACCTAGGACGACTAGGTGTGAGACATCTTATCCTAGAGAAGGAGTCAGATATAACGACGGATCCTAGAGGGATTGTCTTAGATGAAGACGGGATTCGTAGCCTTCAAGGTGTTGGGAAATATGAGGCGCTCTTTCGAGATGTAGGGAAATGTGAGTCGTGTGAAAGCCATATCGCGGGAGTCTACATTGCTAACCAGATGCATAGCTGTGGGAATGTTCCGCTTCATTGAGGGAGGAAAAGGCCTTACATGCAAGCCATTCCTGCAGATCAACCAAGATACTGTAAAGATAGCCCCATGGCGTGCTGTATACGTTTGACAACTACTAACCAGCAGTAGATAACCGGAGGCACCGGCCACGTAGGATTTATGAGCCACAAACAACCAGCATTGGAAAACCAGTTGAGACTTGCCATGAACAAGACATTTTGCAATTTAAGATCAAATTCAACTGTCGTCGCAATCGAAGAGGTCGAAGAATACGTCTATGTCGAGTATAGAGATGGAGCCGGTCAAAATCGAAAGGTACGCGCTAAGTTTCTGGTCGGCGCAGACGGAAAAACTGGTTTTACGAGAAAGAATTACCTCGAACCTCGCGGGGTCATCATGGAAAAAAGCAGGGAGTACATCACCACCATCTTAGTTTGTTTCCTCAAGCTGATCAATATAGGTTTCACTACGAGGCGATTTGGGTTGCCTTGAACTGGCGTTTAGTTCTGCCCAATCCAAAATCACACCCTAAGTTTCCTCTTTGGGACCTAGGTTACACCCCAGAAGAGGTGTACGATTTATTTTTCCCTCCATATTTCAACTTCATATGTGATCCTGCCAGACCCTCAGTTTGTGGTCGATTTGGGCGCACTGAAGATCGATTATGGCGGTTCGAATTTGTGGTTAAGGAAGGTGAAGACAAAAACCAAATGTCATCACAAGAAGAGACGAGGAGGATTATACTCCCATATCTACGCCATCCAGGCAAGAAATACGGGTGAATATAACGCTATAAGATATCGTTTATTCTATACTGACATTGACACAGCCTACCAGAAGATGTATCTTGGCCAGAAGATTGTATCGAATGCATACGATCCCGCCCCTTTTCATTCTCGGCAAGAAGTTGCAATCGCTGGTCCTTGGGGCGCGTGATCCTCTGCGGTGACGCTGCTCACGTTTTCCCACCATGTGAGTACCTCGACACTAATATATTAGAAGTGACGGTCTGACTATCGCAGTTGGAGGGCAGGGCATCGCGTCCGGATTTCGAGATGCTACATCACTCGCCTGGCGGCTTCGCCTCGCCATCAACCCATCCTGCAAGGACTACGACTTCCTCCTCCGCGGCTGGTACGCGGAACGAAAGCAGCAACTCGAACGTTCCTTGGCAGCCACGATTGCAAATGGGGAATACTGCAATGAGCCATCCCGGATAAAGGCGTTCGTGCGGAAATGGGTGCTTTGGGCTGTACAGCTTGTGCCAGCCTGGAGACAACAGTTGGAACTAGGCCCTAGAGCCCAAGGCATGACGAAGTACGACTGGGTTCCAGGGATGCCGTTCTTGCCCCAATTTGGAGGCGGAAAGTCCTTCCCCCAAGTCTTTTGCGCGCCTATTAATGGACCAGCGCCGCCCATTCCAATGTTCACAGACGATGCAGTATTCAAAGCTGAGAAGAACGGCTGTTTTCAGATTGTCGCGCTTCTTGATTCGTTGCAACAGCTTCCTGTCGCACTAGAAGAGGTCAAGAGTGTAACCACCCAAATCGGGAATGGCGACATTTTAGACTCAATGGAGACAACCTACTTGATCCAGAACCAACGCGGCAGCGCCGCAGGACCAGCATCTGCCCATCTCGACTTACTGCAGGATACGAGCACTTGTGTACGCATCATTGATGCTGAAGAATATACTGCCGCCGGGGCAGGAACAACAGGCTTTACGAGGCCAAACCCGCTATACTATGACGCGAACCGGATAAGGAAGGATCTAGGTGCGAATGCAAGGTACATAATCGTGAGATGGGATCGCATGGTTTTTGCGGCGTGTAAGGATGCTGCGGAGTTACAGAAGGCAATATGTCTTGTTGACGGCTGTCTTAATGGTAGTGCAAATTAGTTAGCGTTGCTGCAGTTACTATAACCACTATTACTATGCACAATCCCTCTTTAGACCTTTAAGCGGCGTAAGTATAATAGACTTGATCTATCTGGACTTATTGACCTCGACATGAACAACCCATCTAATGCTCTCGTCCCATTTAACGTACCAAATTCGAGATTCGATTCGGAAGGGTCTCCTAGGACCAGATGATCCGCTCATTGCATCTAGTCATTGCATCTAGTCTCAACAATATTGCGCTGTCATATACTGAGACAAGTGACCTTAAGAAGGCATACTCAGCGCACGAGAAGGCGCTATCAATTCGTCTCCGCGCGGAAACCAGAGTTACTAACACTTACAGCAACATGCCTAGCTTACTTCTTCGAATGAGAAAACCAAATGCAGCTAAAGAGATGATGTAAAAGTGTCCAGTTCTAAAGGACTTTACTAACGACAGTTTTATAAACACTAGGAACCTACGATACGTTAGTAACATGGTTCTTCTTTCCTACATACGCTTTGCTTAGGGTTAACTAGACAATGTAATGTGGCTTATAGCTAAGGCTCTTACATTCAGACAGAAATTAAAGGGGAATAGACTTAAGACATGTGATTCTCTATATGATGTTATAGATATGCTTATTCGCTAGGGGCGCTTTATCATTAGCTATGTAAGTTTTAGAATTTCTAGAGAGCTTATAAATTCACTAGGGCTATAGACTAATATAAAATAGCAAGCTTCTTAAATAGCTTATAGCTATATTAGAGACTATAACTAAGGCTAAAGGATAGCTTACCTAGGCTAACTATAAGCTAAGTGTATTATATAGTAAGAAAGAGATGCCTAATAAGAGCTAAATTAGTAAAGCCTAGGCTATTTCTCTAAGAGATAAACTAGGACCTAAAAGTAAGGATAGACTGTTTAAAGAAAGAGAGTTTATAAAGCTATGTCTTTTATGTTATAGTAAAGAAGGAGACTTTAATATTCTTAGTTTATATAGTACTCTTAATTACTTAACATTATAGGTAATAGCTATATATACTATACCTTAGATAAGTAATTACTATAGGTAGTTAACTATTATTAAGGGAGTAGTTTTAAGGATATATATAATAGTTCCTAGCCTATATAGACTTTAGTAGATTAGTGTAACGCTAGGTCTTAAACTATAAGACTTATAGAGGTTTTATTACGTTAGTTTACTTAATAGAGGAGGTAGGGGATTAGATACTAAAGGCTTTTATAAAACACGTTATAGTATATAACAAATACTATATTAAGTTGAGCACGAAGCTCCTATCTAAGAACTATCTATCTACTTATATAGTAGCGTTGTACTAAAGGGAATAGTTAGAATAGCAGACTCTCTAACTATTCTTACTATTCCTACTAATCTAATTACGTGTACATCCTATAAGAGGTGCTACACTTATTATAGGTACTAATTCCTATAGGTGCCCTTCTAAGGAGGCACCTTACTCTATATAGGTGCCTTTCCTAATAGGTACCTTTCTTTTACTAGGTACCTTCTACAAAAGGTACCTTTTCCTAAAGGTGCCCTTATTAACTAAGCTACCTATAATCTCTATATCTATTTCCTACTACTAATAGCTATAAGCTATTTTACCTTATTACTCTATCTTATAGTATATAGGTTGTATGTTTTAGCTATAACACTAGGTCCCCTCCCTTAAGGCCTAGTCCTATAGGCCTTACTAACTAAGAATCCTACTAGCCTACTTAAGTGTAGTAGGTCCCCTATATTTATAGGGTAGGTAAGGCTACAACTATGTCTTTCTCTAAACACTTAAAAATTAAAGAATGCAAACTGCTTACTAACTATATAACCTATAAAGGGGTTAAAATGCCTCTCTATTCCTACTATAAGAAATGAGGTCTTTACTACCTTGCTTCTACTTCCTCTAAATGATGTAATAAATGTGTTTATATAAATTCTTACAACTATAACGTCTCTAGCCCTTCTACTAGCAACTAGCAGTTATTATAGAAAGAAGAAGATTGTCTTTATCTTAAAACTTATATAACCTATAAAGCTATAGTAACTACTATAGCGTGTCTTAACTACCTTAAGCAATAGTAGGATCTTCTTAAGACCTAAGGTGCTAAGATGCTTTATTATAGTCTAAAGACCCTTAATGAACTAAAGGAGGTTAAAGAACATAAGTAATAAGAAACTAAAGCTTATGCTTACCTTGCTAGTCCTTCTATAACTAACCCTAGGAGTGCTGTTCCTAAGCCTAACTATCTATTAGCCCTTTCCCCTAGGTTCTTTAAACGTTAGGGTATTAACAGTAGAACTCTACTAGTAACTCTAGGCAGCTAAGGTTCCCCCTTAACTCCTATAAGTTGTTTATAGGTTTATAACCTTTCTATTTTATTAAAAACTCTTCTTAGCGTCCTACTAACCTTCTATCTAAGATTGCCTTAACCTTATATTTAATAATCTTATTCTTAGGTTAAAGTTTAGTGTCTATTGTAATTAGGGCATCCCCTCTTACTAGTTCTAATAATAAGATATAAAACACTAGGTAGAGTCTAGAGTTCTTAGGTAGCTATAGCTTATAATTAACTAAGCTAACTTTCTCTAATATCTTAAATAGTCCTAATTTCTTAAAGTCTAACTTTGTACTTAGCTGTTTTGTTTTAATGTGTTTTTAGAGTAGGTATACTTTATCCTCCTCCTTAAAGGTAGGTTCTATACTATACTTCTTATTTATATATATAGTAGATTGTTTGTTTAAGAACTAGATATCTGTTATAAGTTGTTTCTAGAAGGAAAGTATCTTTAATACTTCTAACGTTCCTTCCTTAGAATGAAATTTATCTAGTCTTAGCGTCTTATATACCTTTAGTTACTATCTGTTATTAGTAAAGAATAGTAAGACCTTTGTTACCTCTAATAGTGCTAAGTTATATATAAACTCTACTAGATGTAGGTACTAGACCTAGTTGTTTTATTTAATATTAACATAGCTTTATAAATATACTTCTAACGTCTAGTTAGTTTGTTCTGTTTATCTATCTATTTATAGGTAGAAGGCTATAAACAGCTTATAGTTTGTTCTAAGCTACGCTATAACTATCTACTAGAATTTAGATGTAAAGAGCTTGTCTTAATCTAAAATTATCTTATCTAGGAGTCTATACGCTATAACAATGACTTTTAAGAAGGTATAAGCTAATGCCTTTATATCTAATGCTTCTATAAATAGTATAAAGTAGGCTTCCTTTATAAGTTAACAGTTAGAGACTATAATAGAGTCTATAATAAATCCTATTATTAGTTCTTTTAATGGTAGTAGCTTTATAATAAAGTTAATTACTATTAAGGACTATACTTATCCTAGTGTTAGTAGTGATTTTAAAAGTCTATATAGTACGTGCCTATTTACTTTTAACTTCTAGCAAATGTTACATCCTAACACTACTATCTCTACTTACTTCCTTAGTCCTAGGAAGTAGTAGTGTTATATAATTTATTTAAAGGTTTGTATTACTCCCTAATGTCTATGTACTAGCAACAAGTGTTGTTCTTATACTAGTAGGCGTCTTATTTAACTTAGGACATACACTAATCCTTTAAATTATATTAACCCTTATTCGTTAATAGAGAAGTTTCCTTTAACTCTATTTAGGGTTCACTTTGCTATTTTATCTATTGTATAAGCGTTCTTAAGTCTCTACTTAAGTTCTATATCTTCTATAATAGCAATTATAGCTAGTAGTTCATTATATTATATTCCTACATCTGTTTTCTTTAATATTGCCCTAGGTCTTTCTTCCTTTAGGCTAATGTAATTAATCCTTCTACTAAAAGCATCTACTCTTACATTCTTAGAGCCCTTATAATAAGTTATTATAAAGTAGTAGGCTATAAGGGTTTCTACCTAGTAGACTTGTCTATAGTTTAAAACCTTAGTTATAGTAAAGTATATAAGGTTCTTATAATCTATTTATACCTATATAGGGTAGGTAGATCCCTTAAGATATACTTACTACTACTTAAAGGCAATAATAATAGCTAGTAGCTTCTTATTATAGATGTTATAGTTAAGCTCTATAGGTAACAGTTTCCTAGAGTAATATATAATTAGTTTAAACTTACTATTCTTATCTAGCTAATTTAGATATACTCTAATTACAAAATTAGAAGAGTTTGTCTTAAGGATAATCTTCTTTATAGGGTTAAATGTAGCAAGGATTAGTACCTTTATAAACTTTATCTTAAGTTCTTAGAAGGCAGCTTCTACTTTGTCTATCTATTTAAACGCAAGGTCCTTCCTAGTAAGCTCTATAAGTAGTTAGGCTACCTTAGAATATCCTATAATAAACTAGTAGTAGAAGTTAGCAAAGCCTAAAAAGGCTTGTACTTCCTTAACTATAGTATAAGGATGCCTCCTTACTTAGGGTAGTTATAGCTGTTATATAGTGCTATTAAGACTTAGGGCTGTTATAGGTTAGTTGCAACTAATAGCCTTAGGTATATAACGTAAGGAAGCCTTAGGCAAATAGGGAGCTAGCTAAGTTAGAGTAGTTTTAGGTATTTTAAGGGAATAGCTATATAGGGTTACACCTTTATCTTTTTTATATCCTTTATAGTAGACCTATAGGATTATACTAACTTCTATTTAACTTACACTCCTATATGCAACTTCTTGTAATATAGTGCCCTATGTCCTTATATATAGTTAGTATTAGCTATTCTAACACTACTATAACTTTTACTTAGTTCATTTTAATGCTATGTGTTCTAATAATATAACCTAAGAATTTAACTTAGTTCTTATAAAACTTACATTTCTCTAGCTTTAACAGTAGGTTATATTCCTTTAGCTTCTAAAGGATAAGCTTAACATACTAAGTATATTTGTCCTTGTTTACTAAGTATACTAGTATATTGTCTAGGTAAACGATAGTAAATATATCTAGATATTTATATAAAGCATTATTCATTAAGCGTTGTATAGATATAGGGGCGTTAGTTAGCCTAAAG